CCGGTGTCTACAACTGGTAAGTGCAGCAGAGGAGGAGCAGAGGCACTAGCCTACAATAAACAAGTTGTGAGTTAATGCAAGTGAATGGATTTGTTCCACTTCGTGTTGTGCCTGCTCGGCGTGTTTCTGTCGGAATGTCAAAGCCATGGCTGTAACAGAAAGCAGCATGAAGTGCTGTGAGGGCAGGGTTCGCCTTACAGGTCGCCAGATGATAATGATGTATCATTAGCGGTGATGGAGTGCGCGGAAATAAAATAAACGGAATCATGCAAAACTGTATTTATTACCGTTTGGGATATTCATAAGTAAATAAAAAAATCTGAAAGAAATAGACATTTGAGCATTTCGTAAAATGGTCACGTAGTTTAATCTTCTGATTAGCAACATTGTGTACGAAATAATGTCAATTGAAAGTATATTTCGTGCCTGACTCAGTCTCAGTTCAGTGTGTTGCTCTAAAGTTATTAATAACGTGTGCGTAAATTCACGCACACATGCGTAAAAGTGTGGGTGAACCTAACAACAAAAAGTATTAACTCTCCTTCACTGGCCTAAATAAAATGGTGAGTAACCCTGTTAATCGAAAGGAGTATCATGAGTTCAGATTAGTCTGACCCTCCTTTGAATTGTGTTGCATTACAGGAAGAAAAGCATTTGGGTAAAAAAGAGGCGACGTACACGGTCTCACTTCTTTAATTAATATGGGACCATATGGTGGAGGGCTTCTCCCGGTAAAGGCTGCTCCCTCATGCTGCACGGTGTTAATTTCAGAAGTAAAGCCAGTGCGAGGCAATGCCAGCTTTCTGTCTGCACTGGACCGCGTGCCACGTGAGTCACTGATTCACATCAACTGTTGGTGCTGAGGTCGGTGCAGTGAGAATGAATGGAAGAACGGGATTAATAGGAGTAATTATGAAATGAACGCAGCTATTTCTTTAAAACGCTCATACTTCAATGTGGTAAAGTAATAAAAACAGCACTAAATATGTATAATGAGGATTCATTTCCTGAAATTATTGTGTTATTATTATAAAAGTTGTAGGCCTCAATTCTATTAAAAGCTGTGTTAAGGCATTAAGTATATTTGCCCCATATGCGTTTTTAAACAAACAACATATGATTTTTTACTAACATGTAAATGCATTTCATAATATAGACAACTCTTTTTTTTTCTTTTTAAAATGGTCAATTGTACAGTATGTACATGTTAACGAAATACATGCCTTTAATTTCAAATCTGCAAAAATAAGAGATACGTGAAATAAATAGGGAATAAATCAATGTAGAAAATAAGTCGATATTTTTTTTTTACACCATTCTTTTTTACACAGTAATAATAAAATACAGTGAAATGTATAAATAACACCGGCTGTGGTTTCAGAGGCCGCGGAGCAGCCAGCAGGCTGAAATATTGGAAGGAGCCCCTCATTAAATCTCACTGATTAGATAACACTGAGCCGCGTGCAATAACCTTACACCTTACAGGCTGACCCCCACTATTTCATTTTGCAGTAGGGATGTAGAGGATGGATGAGAAGAAAGGTTGTGCAGGTACACGCAGTAAAACTTAACCTCCAATATCTGCATCTTCTGAATAGGAGAAAAAAAGGCTCGCAGAGGATGTAGAGCAGGTGAAGGGAAGAGCTGAGGAAAATGGTTAACAGCATGACTTCATGCAAATTCCCCCCGAGTTGAATTATCATAAGCAAACAGTGTGAGCCTGGACTAATAAAACCCCATCTGTGTAACTTCATATCGAGGTAGTATGAGGGCTGCGATAATGAATTTTGTAATATCCCAGCGACAGACATCTCAATCAGACTGTAATCCCGTGATTTTACTGCGGAATCACTTCATTCTCCTCTGCAGGCTGCACCAAAACACAAGACCCGGCTCATGCACAACACGGAAAGTTTTATATTTTCAGACTGCACGAAAAATAAATCTGACGCTGGAAAAAAATAATAATACATAACATGCAATAAATAGGAATGTTTGACTCCTATTTTTCCTAAATCAAATAAAACAAATATTATTTGTTATCTTACACAAATGATTGCATTTACTTATTCAGAGATAATTTCTAAGTCACTCTCTGCTATATATTCTAATATTGGCAGTTATTTCCTGACTCGTGTTAATTAAACTTTAAATAGGTGAATCACTGCCTCGTTTTTTTCTCTCCATCCATTTGAAATATTTCTTCAAGACCACCATCGCTTTTGTCTTGTAATCTGATATTTATCCTTTGAGCACACCACTATTCCTTTTAGTCTTCTGTTGACTCCAGAAAGTATTGACTGCAGAAGTAGAGTTGGATGTCAGTGACCAACACAGCGGGGTTGTTTACCAGACTTAAAGGCTAATTATGTCTCTTTTGTCTGTTGTTCCAGAAGCGGTTTCCTTAAATTGCCATAATGGACTCTCACAGCCGCAAACTGGCCACCACCTGCGCGCAAATAGGTGAGTATCTGATCCATCACCCATCACAATTCCAACAGATCGAAGTAAAAATAAAACGTGTTTGGTAATTAGTAAAATAGACCTATTATCTTTTGCATTTTACATACAAGTATTTTATTTGTTGTTTATGTCATCCTATTTAGACAGAACGGTGCTGTTGATAATAATGCAGGCTAAAGGTCAACGTGTGTGCTGATTTTCACTTATTATTTACAGCTAATATATTTTTTCATCAACATCATTCTTTTTCATTTGCCTAATTCAAAAGTGGCCTAAACACGGATATATATGCTTCCTAAAACCTGAGCTGTTCTGTTTTAGCATTTGGTGAGCTAGTTTTTCGAGGTTTCTTAAAAAAACCTTACTATCTTAAATTAAAAAGGCAAAATAACGTTAATGTCTCACAAAATAATATCCCATTTTCAACCCGCAGTTCTCTAAGATGATGATAAAATGCTGTTTTATTTAGACTTTTTGTAATGGATGTTACTAGTTTGTTCCAAAAATGATTGGTACTATTCTGGCCTCTTTTGCTTGTCGGTGTGAGAAGTTGTGTGAGTCCGTGGTGTGTGCTGTGTTAGAGGGACACCTGGTGCTAGAAAGTGGAGCTGCAGCTTCAGAGCATCATCCGATTATTTGATCAGGATGCAGCTCTGCAGCCACGTTAGTTATTGGAAAATGAATATTGTCATAATGACCTCTCACTAAATGTAGTAGACCATTTAAATTAAACATGTACTTGCATTAGGCACAGGAAGGCTGTGCTTGTCCACAATGACAAACAATGTGGATTAGTATTTTTCATTATATTACCAGAAACAACTACAAATATAAAAAAAGAGACTCAACAAAAGCTTAAATCCCATGCTCGACAAAGTCTGGGATTTATTAATTATTCTCCAATGTGGAAAGGGAAATTACATCAGGTCTTGTTAGGGTCTTAAACGAATAACCAATACGCCTCATTGCGTCTCATTTAGCCGACATTGATGGGGCTGTATGTGGCAGAGGGCAGGATGATCATAGCTCCTCGGCTGCACAATGTGAACAACCATCGATTAGGAATAATAGGATAACTAAAATAAAAACAGAATTACACGGAGGGGAGGGATGCTCACAGATAAAGACACACCAGCGCCAACTGTTTTGCTGTAATATATGCAGCGCTTGTTGGATTGACTCCGGGGGAAACTAAATGTATAATGAAAGCCCATCCGTGAGGAGGAATATACTAATGGAGGAATCTGATGTCCCCTTAATCCTATGTAAAAAGCCTTGTCGACTCCCCCTATATTGACTGAATTGCTAATTAATGGCCCTCAATGGCGGAGGCCTATTGCGCGCAGTAATCCGCAGAAGAGAGATAAAGCATTCAGAAGGTAGGAATGAAGAGGAAACCGATAATCCACTTCAAATGTAGTATTACAATACGGCGTAAAGGAAAAAAGGAGCAACACAGTGTTCGCTGCTGGGCCGAAAATAAAACAAGGAAAATATGTGTCTAGTATTGTTATGTTTTTTATCAAACAGCTTTATTTTGAAATGTAAAATGTTTTATTTTTAGAATCAAATATATCTAATGCACAACATTATTCATAATAAAATAGCCCTGATAATATTTGAATATACAAATACTCATTTTAAAAACACCTTTTGGTTAATTTTTAGAAACGTTGTGTATTATTTACCTATATAAATAATGACAACAACATTGCATATGATGATTATGAGTTAAAATCCAAAGTATGTAGTCCTCCAAACAAGGTTACAATACACTTTCAGACGCTTTTGGCTACCATATGTTTTAATAATGTCTCATACGGCAGAGTATACGCTTGTGCGTATGTGTGTGTCTGTGTGTATGTTGAATTCAGTCTATGGTCTGCTGGTATTTATACATCAGGGGCTTTCACGGGATTAGCCCATAACTTCTTAACAGCGCCAAGTCCAAATGCTGGCTGAATGGGCGTCCGCCTGGACACGTGGAGATGGGAAGTGTGTTAGTGAGGAGGGTGATCAAGCAATCGTGAAATGGAATTAGAAAAAGATGAAAGATGAAAAAGGAAAAAGGAAAAAGTCATTTTTCATTACCAGTGGAATTGACCGCACTAATTGGCGTGGACGTGTCCTCTCTCCATCACCTGTTATGCAGCTGACATATCTCTCTCATCCACCGGTTTTCCCTGCAAGGGTCTACGGACATGCTGTATTGTAAAGTCCCCGAAGGCCAATTTATAATTTGGGATACTGGGTTGTATAAATAAAATGTGATTGATTTGATTGATTGAATCTCCCACCTTGAAAATTAAACCCGCATGTGTTTGATGAGACGCGTTTACTTTGCCTTTACGCATTAAATCCTTGGGGAGTTATAGGTTAAAGAAATGTGCTGGCATATATACTCAAACTCATTAAAAGTCCTCCTTCAGAAATTCTTAGGCAAATGAGAGTCTTATCAGATTAGAAGAAAAAACACTACAAGAGTGCTGGCTGGGAAAGACTGAGGGGTCCAAACGCAAAGTGGGGAGAGAGATCCAGTTAAGCACCCAGATAAAGTAATCCGCCGTCAACAACCTGAGTCTGGTGGTTAACTGCGCTCCGGTGGGGTTCATTTAATGGATATTTGAACGTCAACTCTGGGGAGGGCCAGAGGATCGTCTCATTTGACAAGTAGTATGACAATGCTTTTCCTAAGTGGATATCACAGAACGTTGTACTTTATATTCAAGTAAGATTATGAAGATTATACAGATAATGCTTACATTCAATGCATTTGTTTGCCTTTCGGTAATACTGACACAAGTAACGTACCGTTATCTTGCTCTAACGTTTGGCATAGCACTGTTTAGACATATTTTAAACAGCGTGTATTTTGACAGGATCATTGTGCTGTAGTAGTCTGTTGTTTGATATTCAGTGTGCCGCTTTTCTTTATGCGGCTTTCAATACAATCGGCTCGGTGGCTCGCTTTATCCACAAAGAGTCCCTGAGTAAACTGCAGTGACAGAGCCTGCGGCTCATCTTGGGTATCAATAGAACTGCATCGTTTTACTGGGCCACTGGACCCATCTCATAAAATGAGGCCAAACTGTGTTATTTTCATTTGTATTTGGTCTTGGGCTGCTGCGCAACGGAGCACCGTGGGTACACCGTGCGTCCCATCTCTCTTTACATGCTTTTATTTGGAAATGAAAAATAAGCGCCAGCTCCGGCATAAACACATTGGCACACAGATCTCGTTTCTGCGAGCTCCGGTTGGTTAGGCACACCGTCATATGCACATGCGTGTGCCTGTCAGAGAGGGGGCGGGCGCAACTCGGTGACGTGGAGCTGTGGAGAGAGGCACAGCTGAAATGAAGAGAGAGCAGTGTAGTGTATGCCTCTGGATCTAATATCACCTACCTGTCCTTGTCACTCTGATAGTCAGCCGAGGTAGCCACTGTTTCCTGCCGGAGCTAGTATGGCAGCACTCAATGGCCTATTGTAAAGCATTTTCCAGTTTTAACAGAAAGAAGGTTTTATCTCAACCGCAAGAGGGACTGCTCTGGTGCGCGTTTTTTGGAGAATCGAACAAATTCCGCAGACGGACTTTCCGCTTATCCTTGCTGTACTAGAGGGACTTACTCTGCTTTTGACAGCCAGTTTTGCGATCTTCCGCCAATGAACTCTATGAGGGATCCTTTAAACACTGACCATCACCACCTCACAGGGAATAAACTTGCCTCCACGCACCACACGGCTCTGGCGATGGCCTCTACTTTACAGCCGCTGCAGCGGTCTGTGGACTCTAAACACCGGTTAGAGGTGCACACAGTGTCGGACACGTCCAGTCCGGAGTCTGTCGGTAAGAACCGCTTGGGGGGGGCAGATGTTTGCAGCAAGGCGCCGCAGATGTCATCTCGATATCAAACAAAAGGTGGCTCATATTTATCAATGTATAGGGAGTTTATTGTGCATGCAAAAACGGCGATTATCGTTGTCATTACACCAACACGTAATTAGTTTTGACACTTGTATCTGGTGTGAAAAGTTCTGTGTTATGCAAAGTAAAGAGAGCTTTTGTTGTGCAACTGAAATTACCCTGACATTAATAGATATGATCCGTGCCTATTAAATAATAATCTAACATTATGAATTCAAATAAAATAAAATGTAGCGAAGTAAAAAATCAAAACAAAAAACTGTTTATAATGTGCATCAGAGCATTTCCTCCAACACTGTCATGGATTCAGGATTGTCCCCCCCCCCCCCCCCCCCCCCCCCTCCTCTATAGCATACAGGCCTTAATCCGCCTGACCCAGGCTAAATCAATTTACTTCCTCTTGACAGAAAAAGAAAAGAACCAAAATAAAAACGACGACTCTTCAGATGACCCAAAAAAGAAGCGGCAGCGGCGGCAGAGGACTCACTTTACCAGCCAGCAGCTGCAGGAGCTCGAGGCCACCTTCCAGCGGAATCGCTACCCGGACATGAGCACGAGGGAGGAGATAGCCGTGTGGACCAACCTCACAGAGGCCCGGGTCAGGGTGAGTACTCCCTTGGGTACAAATAAAAATAATCCGTGTGTGTAATTTTGGGTAATTTGTGCCAAGTGCCCGGTTAACCTCCCAATACGATTCCTTATTTTTACGCACTGACACCAAACTTTACGCACGGCTGAATTTCTCGAAAATAATGTAGGACATAGTTTTGAGCTGGGAAACAAATAATCAGACTCTTGTTTAAATAAACTCCTGGTATGAGCTCAATTTAATTAGATTGTATATCTTTGTCCATATAATTCTAATCACATAATGCAAAATAAGCATTTTCAAATTATTTGTGTTTCTGGGCACATTTGAATCAGTTCAGTCATTTCATAGTAACTTATAACATCAGCTAATGAATTGTTATTTGCCTATTAAGTGTAATTACATGCTAAGAGGTGGTTAACAGTTAAGGTTGTTGACATTTGTCGGGGGCAGATACCAGTCGTGTTCTCCTGTTCGTGTGAAAGAGGTGCAAAGCTTGTATTTTGCGATTGTCGCCCTGGTGCTGTGTGATTAAGGTCAGAGTGTTTTCAGGCTGCAGAGGAATACACATTAGGATGTTGCAGTGAGAGCAGTGTGTATTCTGCGAAGATAAACAATGAATCAAGGCAGAATTGTCTGCACAGGAAAACAAAGACATATATCTTTTTTAGGATTTACAGACATAATATTATGTACTAATATACGCTTCGTGTAGATTTAAATTAAACACTAGCACCAACATATGTCACATGTTAGCTACATGTAGAACTCATATTGGCTATTTCAATAAATATAGAGGCTAGTAAATTAAGTATTTCAAAAATATATATTTTCTAACCTTCTCTAATTTCTTTCGCTCTAGGTTTGGTTCAAGAACCGGCGAGCCAAGTGGAGGAAACGGGAAAGAAACCAACAAGCCGAGCTCTGCAAAAGCGGCTTCGGCCCGCAGTTCAATGGACTCATGCAGCCCTACGAAGACATGTACCCGAGCTACACGTACAACAACTGGGCCGCCAAGGGCCTCACGTCGGCGTCTTTATCTACCAAAAGCTTCCCTTTCTTCAACTCCATGAATGTCAACCCCCTATCCTCGCAGAACATGTTCTCGCCGCCCAACTCCATATCCTCCATGACTTCCAGCATGGTTCCTTCGGCGGTGACCGGAGTGCCGGGCTCCAGCCTCAACAGCCTGAATAACTTGAACAACCTCAGTAACCCGTCCCTCAACTCGGGGGTGCCCACGTCGGCGTGCCCCTACGCGCCTCCGACCCCCCCTTATGTGTACAGGGACACTTGTAACTCCAGCCTGGCCAGCCTGAGACTGAAAGCCAAGCAGCACTCGAGTTTTGGATACGTGCAGAATCCGGCCGCTAATCTGAGCGCCTGCCAGTACGCCGTGGACAGACCAGTCTAATACCTACCTGCACAGCAAACAATGACCCCCTTCGCAAGTCATTATAGGTGTAGTGACGCTATAAGTGTTGTTTTTCTCTAAAGGGAGTCTGGCAGTGAAATAATTGTACTTTTTACACGTGTTTCAGGACATTTCTTGATTTTTTTGGATTGTGACTTGCATTATTCTCACTTTTTCCATCAAGTTGTTGCCACTTGTTTCTTGAACATCCCCACACTCCTTAAAGAAACAAGTGAGACTATTCCATCCGTTTATTTTTTGGGGAACGCATTAGATTTTTAGGGTGATTACAATACCTATTGGTTTGTTATGGGGGTCATTTTTTGCAGTGTGTGGGTAATCACAAACAGCCGGCCACAGGAACAAGAGACTACTACAACTACTTTTTCATTTTTCAAAAAAGGGCACTAGAAGACTGAACCACTGAAACAAGTTAAACTCCAGGTCGGAGTCAAAACTGAAACGGGAGATTTTAGGTTTATTCCCCTTTGATGAGTCCAGGCCTGCTTCAAACTGCACCACAGTAAACAAAAGGCCTGTTTTATTCTTCATAGCTCTTCGTGAGGGGTTTTTTTCTGGTGGATTTTGGACGTTTATTGTTGACTGAAAAGGTTGTATATATATTTGAATTATCATCTCCTGTTTGTTGAAGCGAATGCGCTATAACCCTCCAGTCCTCTCCAGGTTCAATTTATCAACGCATGTGAAAAAAAAAAAAAATCCTAAAAAGGAATCATGTTTTGCTTGCAAACAAAAAGGGAATGTACATACTAAAACGCACCAGTTGTGTGTTTCTAACATATTATAAATTTATTATTAATGTCTGTGTGAATATCGACTTAGAATAGCAATTCTGGATAAAAAAAAAAGAAGCATCAAAAATGTTCCTGCGACAAAATTATTTGTTTTTTTGCTCTGTGTATACTATTTGGTACGGAATTATGTTTTTTTTTTTTCAACATCCAAAAAAACGATTGTGTTTTATTTAATGGAAGTAAATATATTGTTCAAAAACATTCTGATGTTATTGAATCTTTGTGTTGGTAGTCTGTTAGTGGAGTGTAAAGCAATGACAGTCTGTCTATAGCCTTTCGATTATGTGAGGTGCTTGTGCGGCTAATCTATAGAGGAAAACAATAGCCGCTCCAATACACATAGCAGCGAGATGCTCCGTCAGATTAACTGCTGAATACATGTCTGCCTGCCCAGCCAAACTGGGCACTGGTGCTTGAAATAACACGGGAATCAACAAACAGGAGGGAGACCACACAATGGCGACAACAGTCCATTAGGGTTTGTTATTTCTTCCAGTGTTTGAACTCAGGAGAGATTGTAGTTCCCTTAAGGGGATTATTATGGAAACGTTCACAATAAACAGCTTTAAATAAATTATTGGATTCATTAATAAATTCATATTAATCCATGAAGATGATCTATAAAAATGTGTGAAATATAAATAACTCAAACATATATTGTTTAGAAGTTGTGTTTATAATAAGTGTTGCTCCCTTTTTAATTATCCTTATGCAGCCTACTGACTCACACTATCTGTTTGCGTTTGAATTGTCCCTCTCTTTGTAATTGGGCACTTTTTAAATCATGCTTTAGGCTATAGTGCGCAAATGAGCCAAAGCAAAGCTACGGTCTAGGACAACGATGAATTACAAGCTTAAGCAAACACTCGCACAGACACTGAAACAAACACACACACACACACACACACACACACCACACACACACACACACACACACACACACACACACACACACACACACACACACACACACACACACACACAGACACACCGATAAAGAGGTATGTTGGGCAGGCGGGGGACGGGTTCAGATTCGTGGCTAAGCAGGAGACACCGTTCCAATCCCCAAAGAAAACACACAAATACAAAAGTAGCCTACGCTTTTTGGTTTGCCGGGTGAGTTTCGGTAATATTTCATCCTCATTGATCTTTGTTGGTATTCTATTAAATCATTCAATACCATATAAACTATGATATTTAAGAAAAAACCTGGCCGTTGGTAAAGGAGCTGATTTAATATCATGCTTAAAGAGGCCTTTATTCATCTCCCAAGGGAAGGTTATTATTAGTAGATATAAATCAGTCCAAATGTTTTTGCAACAAAAGAATAAATAAACACAAGAGCATTCTTCATGGATTTTACATCCATTAATACAAATAAATCCGAGCTGCAGTGCACATCCTGCAGCCTGAACTATTGAACTCTAACTACACAATTAGACTTTCTCGCTAAAAAATAAGTGTCACCTTTTGATGGAGTCGCTGACGAGGAGTAATAATCAGCTGAAGGGGATAAGTCTCGGCTGCTGCTGAGACGAATACGCAAGTCTGCATTCCTAATACACATCCACACAATCAACATGTGGACAGAGGATGACCTGAAGAGAGGAGGGAAGTGTTCATTTGGCTGAAACGGCGCGCAGGACAGCAGACCTTTAGCCTCTCTCCAGCCTGCACAAGGTAAGAGCGTATTCAAGTTGACATGGAAAACAGCATGCTTTTTAGCTTTACAGCTGCATGTTCACTTATGTTATAGATTTTCGCAGAGAAATGTCACAAAATCGGCATTGTTTTACACCATGGCTACTTAAATTCTGCTCACGTTTTTAGTTGAAAGTAATATTCTAAATTCAGACGCTGCAGTGTCATTTATGCGTCAAACCAAACTCATTTTAAAGCAGGAAAAAATTAATAATAACCATGCATAATATTAGCTGAGAAATATAGTGAATGAACTTAACAAATATGTAGTTCATATTTCAACAAACAATCTCCGTTTGAGCTAAAATCATATTTTCCCTGCTTCCGTTTTCGGACACCTAAAAGCACACTACTACATCTTAATGTGAGATTCGTTCCGCCAGCTGAGAAAACAATCCGAATGCGGAGTAACACACCGAGGAGACACAGCTCTCCTGTGGGAATTCAAATAGAAAGCGAGCAAGTGCAAATATCCAAACATGGATCGCTACACCTCCAATCTAAATAATTAACAGTCTCTCAATATGCATGCAGCGCAGGCTGGGAGTTTGGTAATAACGCTGCTGCGAGCTTTCAGGGAGCGTGTTTTCTAATGAGGCCAGAAAATCAAATATTGCATTTCTTATGAAAAATAAACACGTTTGTTTGCATGTTTCATTGCAGCATTTCAACCAAGGGGGAACAGAATATTAACGAAAAGTGGGATACTTCTTAATAATTGTTTTAAAACCAAATGCAGGGTAATTAATTTAGCAGGTAAACAGTAAGTCATTGCATGTAATTCACACACGAACATTATTTAAGCTTCATTTATAATTACCTAATTTATAATTGCATATATCAGCTATATGAAAACGTGTTGTTTTGCATGCGTGCTCTTCAAGACTATGCAAATCCAGAATTAACTTCTAAAGAGGATATTAAACAAGCTTTTATTAAAACGAGTTTAGTATTTGGTCGTGTTTGTATCTCAAGATGTGCAGCAGAAAGTGTGTGAGCTGTGTGTTATGGTTATCGGAAAGGAAGACAGATTTCGGATTTTTCAGAGTATGCATGGTGGTTCTGATCAATAGTTTTTCAGTGATGCAACAGCCACAATTAAATCACAGCAGGACTTAGGGGTTAAGACCAGGCAGCTTTCAAAATGGAAAGATCCTGACTGACTAGAAATAAAATCAAACTTTATTTATATAGAAAAGGGAAATTCAGTAATGTTTAGGTTGCTAAGCAACAATTGTATCTATAAGACAGTCTGTGACACAGGCAGGTATATTTGCTTTTTAATTATCTGCATGTCTAAAGAAAACACCTTGTACTTGCTCTGTTATTTCTAACATATGCTTTGAGCAGTGTATGTCATGTTATTCTACTAAACACGATATATGCGATTAGAATACATGTAGGATAGAGAAGAGTCTACTTGCAAACACACAACTTGTCTGAGCTCTTAGTGCTGCTGTGGGTCTGGGGGAGGGGGGTGCTTGAGGGTTTGGGGGTTTGGCTCTGGACCAATGGCGGCCCAGCGGCTTCAGCTAAAGGTCACATGGTGTGACCTCACACATTCTCACCCTCACCTAAGGCCCGAGAAGTTCTGCATAACAAGATGCACCACCGTCCATCTCAGCTGAGCTCTAAACACCTCACATCAGCTTAAAAACATCTGTGTGGGTCAGAAAAATGATGCCAAGTACATTTATTGACTTTTGATACACTGCAATTGTATTCACGTGTTTGCACGGAGCAAAGTGTGAAGAAGTATATGCATTTGTCTCAGGCTGTGTGAGAACATTGACTTGATTGTGTTCATTTTTGTCTGCATGCTGAAGAATAGGCGAAAAGAGACATTCAAACAGGCTCATCACTGGTGTCTGTTGCACATATGATGTGGGTGGATCTACTTTTATGAAGTTGTGTCAGTCCCTCTCATACTGGAGGCTTGGTGCTGTTTGAGGGCAGGCGGCTGGCCAGAGCGTGTGAAAGCAGATAACCAGGGCGGATTTCATGACGCACACACTTCCTGCTCTCTGAAGTTCTATTAAAGAAGGATGAAAAAAACCACAGATCAGAGATGTTCTCCTTCCAAATCAATTTCTACACATTAAGCATGCTGAAAAGATCAGTAGCACAATCTCATGGACCTTGAAATTTGAAGTGAGGTATGATCTGCCAGGAGAGACCTATGCATTTATTGGGTAGAAGACCCGTATCTTAAAATATATAAAATCTCTAAAGAATACAGTTTATCTGTCAGCTTGTTGTACTTTCTACTACTGAACCCTTTGTAGGTCATGATCTGTAGCGCCTGTTGAAGAACTGAAATGTAAATGTTTGGAGGCATCTCTTGCCATTTTGCACTCTGAGGTCCATTACTGGATTACATAAAGCATTTCAAACAGAAACAAAAGCTGTGAAAATGCACTCTGCAGTAAAATCAATCCACTACTGGAGCTAGGTTTCTGTGTGGTGGGCTGCTGCAGAATAAGAGCTTGTAAACTCAAACTACCTGGATAAAAATGCCATTCAAGTGGCATGATTAGGCATTAGGGCTAAATACAGTAGACCTACCAAGCTGTAAGAAACACCTCCAAGCCTGCATGTTGGCCACATGAAACCGGTATGCCTTAAAATCCACTACAACAAGAAATGTGGAGAGATAATACAAATAATACATCTATTTCATAAATAGGCAAGCCTATAGGTTACATACAGGCTACCTAAAGTCTTCCTCATGCCTCTTCATGTTAAGCTGACAAGTCTAAAGCTGCTAACATTTGAGCAATATCTGAAGCATCGTGTTCAGACACCTTCCGTTTACACAGGCTTCCCCAGATGGCATCTCTCAGCGCTGTTTTCTTTAGGCCTGTCATCTACTGTAACGGCTTAATTGACGTTTACCTCTGTTCGCCGTTGTCAGCCGCCAGGAGTCTGACGAGCAACCCGGCTCTACTTTCCCAGGCTCCAACCTCAGTTAGACAATTACACCTGAGCGTTAAGGTTTGTTTTTGTGTATCTTCATTTCAAGTTGTACAATGCTCCCTTCACAGGCAGGGTGAATCAAAAAAAATGCTGCAGAAATGGTCACGGTGTGTAACTTCTACCTAACACTTGGGTCATGTTAGTTCAGTGGTATAAGTGAAATCCTGGCTGTCCATCTTAACTTTTCTAGAAAATCAAACATCAGATGACAGCACATTCTCCAAATACAGAAGCAAACTATGGAAAGATTTCCATCTTAATCCCATCTGCACGCATGAAGACCTTTTTGTGTGGCATACATCCCAAACTGCTATGTTAGGTAAGATTAGAGATTTGAGAAAGAAGGTCAAATCATGCAAAACATACACCAAAGTTTAAAGTAGGCTGTTTTTGTATCACCAGTGAAAACAAAACCTTTAGCGCCCACTAGTGTCATACTTTACACGCTGATGATGATGATGATGATGATGATGATGATGTCAGCCGTACAAACATGGCATCTTGGGCATTAAATGCACAATATTATGGAGAGGGCCACTTAGGAAGAAGCGTTACTTCATTTATTTGGCCTTATGCCACGTTGACTTCAAAGCTAGAAGTCAGGAAGTAGAGTAATGAAATGTGCTTTTATTTGGTAGTTATTGAAGAACGAATGATTGAAATGTAATTCATACATCATGTAAAATAATGTACCTTATGTAAGATGTATGGACATGTGAAATAGTAAACTATTTTTGAATGTCTATAGCAATATTAAAAGTAGACTCATCATCATGGTACTGTGGTGGACTTCCGATGCACAACAGTACTGCATTGTAGTTTCGCTAAAAGGAAATTCTGGCACCATGACACTTGGACTAAAAAGAGAGCAGTGAACCAAAGACATATTGAATTTCCAACTCTATTATTTCCAGTCTTCATTTCCTGCCCTGAACCCAGTTTCTGAAATAAGTACTGTTGTGGTTGCAAAATGGTGAATGCAAATAGAAAGTATAGCTCATTTTACACCCACTAACTTTTGGCAACCCTTTACTAAAGGGCTTTTGGCTCTCAAGACAAAAATAAATAAGTAACAATTTAGCAAGTGTATGCATGTTAAAATGGGGCTTTCTATGCATGCAGCCAATTCCAGTTCACTGTACTTTTTTAGTCATGCTGAATTTGTTCATCCTGCTAAAAAAACAAGCGGAGTAGCATCAGCTCGTTAATAAACCATTGTCAGCTTGTATTGCCTACAAAGAGGTATTTCTCACACAGATAAATGACCTGATTAAACAAATCTTCCTTCCTATTGGACAGCAAATCAACAGGTTTTTGTTCACTACTTTCAGATCCAGTGGCTGTTCGTCTCCAATCGGAGCAGCAGTGGTTACAGGCCTACACCTCCCATCATCCAGGGTATCCATCAAAGCTTCAGCCACTGTAAGTCACTCTGTTCTCGGCACACTGATCACATGTTTACTCCTCCTGAAAATATTTATTTGGGATGCTCTCCTATTAAAGCCAGATGTTGCAATTTCCATTTTCTCTGGTGCAAATATGGAGTCGGTTTTTCAAATTCTGGCATTCAGTTTTCCATCTCTCTGGTCAAAAAGGGATGCACAGGTTTATTTTTTGAATGTGAGCAGCTGTTTGGAAACAAGGACCCATTATATACAGACAAATGTAAACTACACACAAATGTCTGCGGTTGTAATAACACTAATATTAATTGGTTTTCTTTATTTTTCCCAGTGTTGTCGATCTTCTCCTTTCTGCATGTTTAGCTTTTCAAGTGATTTTCCATCTTTTTATAAATATGTTATTGTTTTAATGCATTCCTTTTGCATCTTATTTACTTCATTGAGTGCCAGGGTTTGAAAAGTGATGCCCATTTTCAGAATAAAAGTACTAAGAAGATGTAAACTAATGTAGAATGCAAAATATTATTTTCTTTAAAAAAAATTCAGGGAGAAAGTTTGTAATTGAACCATTTTTGCACTTTGCTTTCTTTTCAATATAAACGTGAACTTTACTTAGCTAGCATAGCTACGGGTGAAAACAGTTCAATTGGATCCGTCCAAAGCTATGCAATCCACCTAAAAGCCTCATGTATCAACATCTTATGTCTTATTTGCTTAGTTCGAGCAAAATCCAAATCTATACATAAAACATTATTGTTTTCTGCCAGGTGCAGTAACTTCCTGGAGTCCTAGCTGTTTCCTGCCAGCCTCATTCCTCCAGGAAGCTAAATAATGACAGCTAGTAAGTACTTGATCAAATATAACTTGATGTTTTTACTTTTGCAGTTTTTAGATAATTAGGAAGAAGCTCTGATACTCAAACAATGTCGTCATTGTTTGCTCCCGGTTACTTCTTGCTGCGTATATCTGTATAATGTTTAAATAAGATGACAAATGAATCATACATTTGTGTTTGATCTGTCTAGACGAACAGCAGTGAACAGAGAGATAAACAACTGACTGGTGAAGGAAAGTGAGCACTCCACCTGGTGTCGCAGGTAGCTCCACCACCTCTCCCAGCCTACAGCATTTCCAACCCAACCAGAACAGACGGTGTGGGGAGCGATTTATTGGATTGGATCCCACCCAGCAGTGACTTATACGCTCAACCTATATGTCACAGATGGTAGGATTTCACTGTGGTTGATATAGGAAATCCACTAAGGAGTATTGATCTTTCTAAGATCTGCTCTCTCTGCCTGATCTCCACAGGATCTGAACATCCGCAGAGAGCTGGAGGGGAGCGGGCCGCAGGTCTACCTTTAACCAGTAGAGTAAAGGTAATGCTATGGAACATTTTCACACAGCATCTCCACCATCTTTCAATACATGCAGTGTTACTATTCGACATATAGCCAGCTTCACATTTCTTGCTCATGTTGTGTTTTCAAATGCTTTTAAAGGCTGTTAGCATTAGTAGCTTTAGCAACCAGGTCTGAACAGAAGAACTACATCTACCACCTACAGCAAATGCACCAACAAAACAATCCAAGGAAACTCACTGTTGACTCACTGTTCGCTTGGCAACAGATCTATGGGTGGATTAAGACCAAAACCACAACAGTAATAATCAGTTTGCGTCAAAGATGTCAGCAAAATGAAAAACAAGAACCTTGATTATTACTCCTGTAAGTGGAAGTTACACATTGTGGGATCTCTATAAGATCTAAGTTGTTCATTTCTAAACTGGCATTCTGCAACTAGATATTAAAACACACCTGAGCTACAAATGCATGCAAATCCAAAATGCTTTTTCTGCCTTGCTAAAGAATGGCAATTTTAATAGCATATATCTGATTCCATTAAGACTTATAATCGTATTAATTTGTTTATCATAGACACAAACGCTAAATTGTTTGTGCAATTGACATTTTCTGTACCTGTCCAATCTGCTTCAGTATCTCTGTGTTGCTTTGAAAATGCTACAAGATAATTATCATCATATTAATAAAGAACTTCATTTACATGAACCACTGTTTTGTTGTCTTGATATCTCAAAAAAAGAAGTTAGATGATAAATTAATGTTTCTGGTTGTGATAGATCATCTCAAAATTACAGTTTTTGTTGGATAAAGCTATGAAATTGATAAAGAATGGTCCTCCAAATATTGGGTGTAAACAGCATCTATTTAACTGCTCAGCTTTGGGTGCTTGTTTCGCAAATGCCCTATAGTTGAAGACGGGCGTGACACCTGTAAAACACCCAATTTCTTCAGTCTTCTTTCATTTCCTGGACTGTTAGCCAGCGCTGTTGTGTTAAATTGCACAAGCAGGTAGATGGAACAAGTGCATAAAGCCTGCCAACCCTCTCTCTCTCAGACAGTTTTAATCTCTGGTAAGACAGTCACGTCTAGATTTGTCATCTGCCGTGTAAACTCCGGTGGAAACAGACCTGCCGCCTGTGCCTCCAGTCTCCACGGCCCTCCTTCATTACTGCGCACGGCGGGAGAGCCAGAGCGCACGGTGTGGTAATCCCTGCTGGAAGGCGTCACCATATACTGTCGTTAATGAAACAGAAGATATACACCCCACACACACACATATGTACATCCACAGACTGAGAGAGATTAATGGTTGCAGCAGCATTTTGTAGACTACAGATTAAGGTTTATATATCTCAGCAGGAGATGCTATGTCGGCTCAGATATATCCTCTGTAGTTATTTATAGGCATGACTTCTTTTATTTGTTGTTGATAATGTTATTTATATATTGTGTAGTACACTGCTGTGCGGTCTAATGCTGTTTGCTTAGTTCTGTGTAATGATGTTGTCTCTGCAAAAACCACCGTTGGATGCTTTATGTATTTCTTATGGCCTCCTATGGCAGGAATAGTCTACTCATGACCTCTCTTAAAATAGTGTATATACGTCTACATATTTGTAATAGTGCACTTGTCCACTAATTCACAAACAAGTAAGAATTGAAATATTTAGCCTATTCTTCAAAATGTTGTGACATGACTCCAAAAGCTGATCAATTAACAATGACAATTTTAATGTTTGAATGTTTTATTCTTGATGATTCGGTTTGTGAGCTGGTGCACAATCATCTGCCTGAACTGTATCAGTTTGTCAGTGTGTGTGTCTCACCCAACTAACCAGCAGAGGGCACCACATATAATTACATCTATTTAAACAGCATGTAGTCAGTATTTCAAGATTTGACTCGTGAAAAACAAAATTCACAAGATATTCTTTTCAGCAAGCCTGTTCCCCATTCTGACTTAAACCTCATAGTTTTAGTATTAAATGGCCTTTCTTTTTTTTGTTAATTGGAATATATTTCATCATATTCACATATTGTATATCATTGTTATATAGCCATGGACAATTGTTTTTTTTATTTAGGGTATTACTTATATACTTTAGTTATCACCCATGTCATTTAAGATAATGGTGATTTAAAATGTGGTCTACACATCTACAATGTCACGAAACACATTCAACAAAAAGTCAACCACACTCACACAAGTGAGAGAGAAATGGAGAGAAAAAGCCTCCGTGCTTCTGTCGTGACACCAGCACTGTATTCCCTTCAATTTATGAGGTATCATGGCGGGTAATGAAGCGGAAAGGTCAGGGGGAATGTGTTTTTATCCGCTCTAAACCAATAGGTCACATTTCCACTTTCCACGCCACAACTCTGTGACTGCAGCTGTGCCCTCTTGGTTAAAACAATACATTCACCTTTGCCACTCATACATCAGATCACCAATTCTCCATCTTATTGGCAATGTCACACAGAGGGCTAGGAGATATTACAGAATAGATTTACTGCAAGGGTTCGTCCTCAGCCTCAGATATGATATAAACGGTATGTAATGTAAGCCATACATTATGAATCCAATTTGTTTGGCCCAGATCAGAAAACACACATCTACTCGGTTGGATAGTCACACTGAGACCACTAGATGGCAGCATGGTGGACAAAATGAAGATTTGCTCCACTGAAGCAAGATTGAATGTTTTTTTAGAATATGGGGCATTCTTTATGAAAATAAAAAGCAATGCAAACCCTACTTTGCTATTGAAATACAATCTGAGTATGATTGCAATATCCCTGAAAATGGCAAATACTACGATGTATTAAACGTATAGAATACCTATTCTATGTAAATTCAGTAAATCTAAACGTTGTGAATTTATAATATTCTTTGCTGTGTCTAAAAGGTGTTGATTAATCTCTGATCTGATTTGTTGAAGCCGTATTGTGGATGATGCAATCCCACATACATGTATATTACATTGTGAGGTGTTAATGTTATCTTGACCCTGCATTGTATATGAGCTATGGTGAGGGCTTTGCTATTAGACACACCTTCATTCTCTGCGACACCACAATGAAATACAGTCAGCAAACAAACATTTCTGTTCAGATCAGTATCAACTAACTATCTAAAGCCATAAGCTGTGCAGGGTTATTGCATCAGACTACAACTGTTCAGAAATACTGACACTACCAGTCGGTACAGAATCTTTCAATTCTTCTTTTTCAAAAAGTAGTGACTTCCTGTAGGCTTCGAGGGATAATATCAGCTAAGACAACTTTCACAATGACAGGTTGTATTGATGGCAACTGATTTAACACTTTAGCAGTTTAAAAAAGCATGTGCGCTGAAAGTGAAAGTCACCGTCACACACGTGTCTAGAGAGAACAGTTCATTGTGTATTCATTTATTATTTGTTGATTTCTTTTCTGAAAACAGTAGATCTACAACTTATAATTATTGTTGTTATTAAATAAGTCAACTTTTCTCTGATTATTGGATACATTGTTAGTTAAATCAAAAATAATTAACCCAATGAACCTTATTAAAACAAACAGGCCCTCACAAGCACTGAGAGTAAGGTGACATTCATCTTCAAATGTTTTATTTTGTTCAACCACCAGTCCAAAACCCCAAACTCTTCCATTTACAATAACATATTATAAAATAGAGAGAAGCTGCAAATTCTTACAATCAAAAAGCAATAATTGCATTTTATTTGATAGATGACTATTGTTGCAAGTATTACTCAAGAAAGTGTTTTACCACAATGCATTTCTGCACATACACAACTACAATGAAACCCATGTTCGCACCTCAGTGCATCCAGATGGCCAGAGAAATGTGTTAACAAACCTTGTGTTTCAGAACAGATGTGTTCTTTGCCTCACGGACACAGCATATTTAAAGTACACGGAGCAAAAACATTATAACATGGTGTTATGTTGCAGTAGCAAGTGCTGATTCTACGAACGCAAAGGTCGGGGATATGAAGAGGGAGTTTGCGTCATGATGTATGATTAGTGGTGATAGGAGAACAGTCTTTTTTAGAGGAAAACCCTACAGGAGATAACACATTCAAAAGGGAGTAAGCATTCCTCTTACTGCATTTCTACCTAGATACACATCAGCCAATTAAAGCACAGGACAGTGTCAAGGTCATTTGATGGTCATGTGTTATGAGATGAACTGTAACTGGTATCTCTGCTCTTCACTAGTGACGTCCCCTGATATCGAGCGAAAACAGAAGTATTTGTTTTGTGATTCTATCAAACTAAAACCAATCCATGTTTTGGTTTAAAACGATAGCTCTAGCTACGGTTCAAGGTGTCCTTTTGTTTTTAACATGGCACCATGCAGTGTTATATATTTTGCTAGTAAAATACATGCAGTGTAACTATTAAAAAGATACAGAACAAGTGTCTTTTCATCCCTGGTATATGCAAGGCACAATACAAATCTATAAGATAATGTCGGATCAAATGGAAATGACACTTTCAGTCTTATTATTCTTACAGCAAGGTAAAGGTACTAGGTTAAGGTTGTATACAAATATATATCTTTAAAATACACACACTTGAGGAACATTTGAATAGCCATTGAATAACCCCTGCAAACTCATACATCTATTTCCACTCATTACAAATAAACCATTTAAACAATGTTAGACCTAAACACGATTGAATTATCTCAATGTTCACTGTACTTTCATTTTACAGCTTAGGTAACGTTTCACTGACAGAAAAAGTAATAATAAGTTTAGTTTCCGATCCCTTCCTTCTCCTTTTATTTAATCAGCCTTCCTCTTTTACTCTCGCCCCACATTTTGTTTCTCGTTTGCAGTCTGAAAGATACCATTTTTATCCTGATTGTTCCTATTGCTTCAGTGACTTATTTTCTCCCAGTGGGTTAACGCAATCCAGAGAAAGATCTCTTTGTGCTTAGAAGAAACTTTGCAGAAGATATTCAAATCTCCAAGTAAACATAAATGTGTTGTGAGGGAAATATTAGTGTTTCTTTCTTTCGTTATGCCCAGTCAAAAAGCTTTCACTTTTATTTTGCACAAACCAAAAGCATATGTCCTAATATTGAAACAACAAGAACAAAAGGCACAATCAGAACTAAAGGTGTTTTGCCTCAACACATCTCTTGAAATCTGAATACCATGCAGAGTGCAGGCACATGGACAGATACTCTATACATGTTCACATGAGTGAGTACCTGGATCAAAAAAGCACACAACTTATGAAAGCAAGAACTCTCTGTAACCCGGCTCCAGATACCTGACAAGCCTGCCAACACTTCTCCCGAGAGTGCAGATCCTATACACAGGTGCAATCACTAAGCAACGTAAACATACAGGAATGCAGGGGAGCGTGTATGAAGACACACATACATTCACATGGCCCTCACATGCTTCCACAATAACACTTGAGGTGTTTTTGATGCAGAGAGAACCAACTGAGATGATGAAATCCCAGCTGATTCTCCTGTAGTACAGCCACCCTCAGAGGCAGATAACCCACTGGGAGAATTTAAGAAGATATGTTTAGACTGAAAGGTCAAAGGTCACACCTTTCATTCTTCCGCAGAATCACACCCCAGAGACTTGTGGGAAACTAATGATGCAATGATGAAGTGTAAAAGCTAGATATTTTGGGAGCATAATTAGGTAACAAGGGAGAAAAAGAGCAAGAGTGAG